CACTAAAACACAGCATCTCTATCACTAAAACACAGCATCTCTACCACTAAAACACACTAAAACACAGCATCTATACCACTAAAACACAGCATCTCTACCACTAAAACACAGCATCTCTACCACTAAAACACAGCATCTCTATCACTAAAACACAGCAGCTTTAGTTAAGACAAGATCATGTTATAGTTTTCTTCTTATCCTCTACGTGTGGAAAACTGCTAAAGATAGAAGCAGCACAAAGGTTCTAATGTGGCTCTGAACTGAACTGGTCTGAATTGATCAAACAGAAATGTATGTCTGATTTCTGTTTGATCTTCCTGCTCAGACCCTTTAGCTACTGTTTGTTAGCTACAGTTAGCTCACAGTGGGACTGTAGGATCAGAATGGGCCTTTTCAGCCACCTGCATCAAAAACAGAAATGATCACAACATCAACATAAACTCATTCAGTATCTACATTTTCAGGTCAAACCCATGTTTTCTGTCTCAGGGAGACTTGCTTTAGCCAAAGCTTTTCCTGCCAGTTCAGCGTTTCTGTGCTGGACTCAGCTCACCCCCAGAGACGATAGCACCATACTTTCCTCTGGTCAGGGGACGGAAAAGGAAAACACCTTCATAACGAAGGCTTTAACAAAGACAGGAAACAGTCCAATAGGGCTTCAGTCAGAAACAGATCTGGGGACGGGAGTAAAGGGTCATACTTTAGTGTTTACCATCGCTAATCCCCCCAGAAAGGTCAAACTCACTGTTCTCTCAGTCTGAAAGTTGTAGTTTATTTTTTATTAATGGCACATTGTGGAGAGCAAGAGAGAGGAAAAGTGGACATGAAATTGCAAAGTGAAAGTGAAAAGCATGAAATGAGAACTACAAGTGGAAATCAGGGAAAAAGCCATTTGAGCGAAGTGGCCGCTAAAGGCCTCCGTCAGCCGGGTTATTGGAAATGCGATACGGTCCAATATTTGCTGCAGCATTCTGCCTAAAAGAATCACATCAGCAGACGGAGACTGGAGGGAATTCAGCCACAGATCGCGTTACCTGGGACTCCACAGGTGTAACATCAAAGGCAACGAGCCGATAATCTACTGTCAATCATTCAGGAGAGGAAAAAAACACTCAGAACCCCCGGAAAACGAGCAGGA